CGGGTTCTTTCCCGCCGGGCCGGTGGGCCGCCCCGAACTGCCCTTTATGTGGGGGGCAGCCGCCTCCGCCCCGCTCTGCCGTCCCGGCCGCTCCTTGCAGCGGCCCCTCCGTCCCCCCGCTCATCGAGGGCGAGGGCCAAGGGCCGCTCCAGGAGCAAGGTTTCCAGCGGGAGTTTCCGTAGTGTAGTGGTTATCACGTTCGCCTAACACGCGAAAGGTCCCCGGTTCGAAACCGGGCGGAAACACCAGTTTTCTTCTTCTTTTTTCCTTCCTTCTTGTCAGCGTCCACCCAGTTTTTCCACCTCTTCATTTAAAACCAGTCTGAATTTACACTGTGATGCCGGGAGCAGAACGAAGCTGAAGCCCAGAGCTCCGCGACGTCACTGCCACGAAAGGGCAGCAGTGCCCGTTGCTGCAGTGCGACTCCAAGGAAGCTGCTGCAGGGGAGTCGCTCGGAGGCAGGCCACCGCTTCTGCTCAGGTGCGTGTTGATACAGCACGCTACCTACGGAGCAAATACACTGTGCTCATGCACCCCAAGCACCGCACATACACATGGATTGATTCAGAAATGTAACCAGATCTCTCAGGATCGCAAACAGCAAGGCTGCTTCTTACATCCAGGTTGCAGGTCCCATGGTTGTGCAATAGTCACTGCCATGGGGCTGAAAGACAGTATGATTGATGTATGGAATTCTTTCTCAGGTGATAACTATTTTTCAAAAATTGCAAGTACGCTGTCATACCATTGCAGTCACAGCTTTTCCTTGAATCAAAACTTGTAATCTCAGTTATAATCAGCTGTTGCTAATATAGGGTAGGATATTCCTAATAATTTTGCTGCTTGCCATTTTAAGCGTTAAGTGAACAGTATGACTACACACTATGTATGTACTCCACATCTTCATAATGTATATATGGAGCCACAACCTCTGTCCAGCCTTTCTTACAGAACGGTTTTGCACTTGAGCTAAGCAGGGGATTGGAAGCATATGGTTACAAGAAAGGAGCATGCTATACTGCAAGGACATGGCTAGTTGCTTTATTGTTAAGATTTAATTCATTCCATTACCTAAGCTTTCCCTTTAAAAATATAATCTCAGCCTGTCTGCTCGGACAGATAACCTAAAGGAGGAAAATGAGTCTGAATCGAAATGGCTTGAGTGTCACCAGGAAACTGGTAGCAAAATCTTTAAAACGATTCCACAACCAAATGACAGCGTTTTCACTGCTTGCACTTGAATGGCAGAAATTGTAGAAGAGGTTTGGCTAATTAGCCTAAGCACTGCTGAAGTTTTGATTGGAACTGAGGCCATGTGAGATAGTGGCAGTTAACACTCAAATTTCTGACGTCGAGGAATGAAGAACTGGAAAACCTCATCTTCCCAATGAAAAGCAAGGCTTGAAGGAGGGAAGAAAAAGAGAGAAATCATATGAAAAATGCCGGTTCCTTTGAAAATCCAAAAGCACAACTTAATTATTTCTCACAACTTCCCCCATTATTTGAACCTCTTACACTGCTACACCTATAGAAAAAGTAAGCCACTGAAAATATGACTACTGAAAAATAAAATGAAAATAAACGACACAAAATACCGGTAGACTTAGAGTTTGCAAGAACTGTAAAATACTGCTTAAAGAATCAAACACATATTTCATAAATACAAAAAATTATGGTTCACCTTCTCTCTTGTAAGCCAAAGAAATGGAATGCCCAGTCCACTAAGAGTAAGATAAAATAATTAGGTGTTTTGCCACTCTTCAGCTCTTCATATCTGCAAGTGGCACTGAAAATGTTTACAAGTGTCAGCCACCAGGACCAGAAGTTCGTTTTTCTAAACATGAAAGGTGAGCTTCTTCCCTGCCTCCTAGATGGGAACTTCTATGTCAGGTTTCACAGAATAGTGCCAACTCTTATAGTTCACAGGTATTCCACCATATTGCCTCTTTCCCCTATTTTTAAACTGAAAAATTGGAGCAGGATTAGAGCTATCTTAAACCCCACCTCGGGCATTATACAGTTCTCCTTTGATAGTGATTTAAACAAAAAATCAGCATGAACTCACATTCAGGGAGAAACCTCTTCTGAAGGTTTCTTCAACCTCCCCCCAGAAAACCTAAGTAAGGGGCATTTGAACCCTTAACATTCCACCGATTAGTCTTCCAGTCTTGGCATTAAAAAAGGCCTTTGTGGCCTCGGATTGTAACTTGAGCCTGCCAGGACTGGCAAACTGAAGAGGTGAGTTTAGTTCACTGGCCCTCAAAACTGGGGAGCGAAGATCTACTTTTCTACACTGCTTTTCCATCATCTACTTCTCCCATGGCTCCACCATATTGTGCCGTGCAGCTTCAGTACCTCCCCTACAAATAATTAAACTGTGTTTGTGTAAAATGCAGAACGGGATACGCGGCGGTAAGGCTTGATTAGCTCTTCATCATCTGTTTAACCCGTGTCTGTCCCCTGTGCACGCTGCCACCTGTAGGTCTACACGTAGACTGTGAGCTCCTCCACTGCGAGGCTGAACCCTAGCCGACTCTGAAGCCCAGCTGAAGCCCAGCGCATGCTTGCGGAGCAGGGTACAGAACAATCTGCTCAGGAGGTTACCTGCTTTGCTCTTCAGAGCACAAAGTGGCTCATTAAGAGAACAGCAGCTATTTAGCTTTACAAAAGGAAGACAGAGAGGACACAATTGCTCTGTATTAATACACGTCAGGAAGGGAATAATAAAGTCAAAAACCAAAGCCAGAAGAAGAATAAATGGCAATAACCAACCATGAGAAATAACAAGGTGGAAATTAGGTTCTAACCAGCAGTACAATGAATTTCTAGAGCAGTCTTTTAGTGGGGGGAGGGATCTGCAAAAAAATCCATTTAGAGAACTCCCTGTCAGATGGGCTGGTTTCCTGCAGACAGCATGCGATGAGGAGGCTCCCTCTTTTTACTATACTCTTTAATAAAAAGTATTTTAATACATCATAAAGTAGTAAGATTGCAACCAGAGCACTCCTTCCACACAAAGCTGATTTGGACCTTAAAAGCTGTAAACCTGTAAGTGCCACAATTGTGCCTTTCCCAAATTATAAGACAAAATAGATTTTGTGATGCAAGTGGTGAAAAAAACATGTAAAATATAATCCCAAGTGCACAAAGCCATAGGACCTTTTAAAATTTGCCCTAAAGCATTGATAAACCTATAAAATGAAGTGACGATAGTAACTGCTCGCTAATCATATTTGCTTTGTGCCCACCTAACATATTTCTAATTGACAGAAAACTAATACGTTATATTCTCTTTACCACAAATAAAAGGCTGATCATCTAGTGTGCATTTTGAAATAGTCTCAAACAAAAAGTGCAGTAACCACCAAATTCCAAGCTGTTTCTTCAGTGGAGTTTTTATTCAATCTCAGCTGAATTCTCACTTGCAAAGAATCAGTGGGAGTAAAACAATTACGCTCAACCAATTAGCAAACAGATACATTCGCACACCATCATCTTTAATTAACAATTATTTCAGAACAAAGCATCAACAAGCTTGCCCCAGTAACATATGTAATTTCATATTCCCTTTAATCTCAAATGCTATTTAATTGCACTTGGAGATTTTATACATACGGGCACCCATACCATACCCCACACAGCTGCAGCCCAAGGACTCCTAACACGAGTTCGCGGGGGTGCTGGCCATTTTGACCATGGCGATTCCTGGTTCTGCCTAGGCACATGCACAGCAGCTGTGCCCCTACACCTTTCTCGGCTTTTAACCTTATCACACAGCTTACACCAGGACCCCCTCATTTGCAACAGCCTCCCCCTCCAATATCCCAGTAAAGTAGCATCTTCCCCACGTAGACCGACACATGCTGCATCTCACTAGCTCCAGGCTTGCTGCTTCATTCCCTCTAGGGTTTGGGCCATGCCCTGAGCCAGCAGCGAGGGAGTTCCCACTTCTCAGCTCCAAGTAACTGCTACCCAGCTCATGCCAGACGGCATCTGCTCAGGAAGCGTCTCCCCTCAGCTTAGGGGAAACCTCCGCAACAAGCAGGAGCTAGCAGTACGTGGCTTTGAAGGGATTTACACATACAGAAACGACTGTTTTGGGAAGCTCTGCAGGAAAATCTTATTGCCCCCCTCAGGTCTTGCAGAGGCACCTATGTTAGTCACTGATAAGTTAAACTCTAGCTTTGGTCATCATTTTTCTTTTTTAATAAGGGGAATTCACAGACAAACGTTTCTCCAGCAGTACACCAGGACTTTACATTCAAAACCCACTGATTTGTTTTTTTATTGTAACACATCAATTAAGACATTTAAAACAAAAGAGGAGCTCAAGTTCTTTAAAAAGTTATGTATCAAAAATGAAACCATTCATTCTCTGAAGTGCAAGACATGCCCACAATTGCAAGTTTAGCAAGGTAAGTTCAGTGTCACTAACAGTTTTTCAAACACTTTTTGAATCTGTGCAAGTTATCCAAGACCATCTATCTCTGTAGCCATGACCTGAAATAACAACTATGTTCCACTGCACCTGTTTAAGAGTATGACAGAAGGTTTTACATTTTGAATTTAGGATAAAAAATGCAGAATACCTCTAAAAATGGCTGAAACAGACTTGCTGATAAAATCCTTACTGTTTCCATGTACAAGAAAAATGTTTAGATGATCTAATATAGCACCTAATATTCTCAGCTCTGTGTATATGAATTCATGTAAGACTCACTATCAAACAAAACGAAAGCTATACACAAATCCAGAAACGCATGTACATTTTCCTCCCTTCTCCTTACACGCTGCCTTCTTGACATATTTCTCCATTACTTTCTTCCTACTGGCCTTGTTCATCCCTATCATTCTCTTTATATACAGACAGGATTACATAGCTTTATCCATGAAAAACTCCTAGTGGCAACAGTCATGGGTGCTAACGTACAGTTAACTTTAATGATGGAAACTTTTCTTTTAGTAGTGAATTTGCAGCAATGAATACACGAAAGTTACATTTGGTACGAACTCTCTCTTAATGCTGCAAACTCTGGGTCAAATCCTATTTATTTGACTTAACAGATTAGCTGGCTCAGAAGTATATTCTGCAAAATTGTATTTTCAGTTAACCTGGAATTAAAACCTCAGCATGTGTCATAACTTTCAATAGAAAAATTTCCACTTTATATCCCTTCTTCCTTGGAACCAAGGAGCACACAAACCAGGAAGAGCTTCTACACTGTATTCCTGAAGAGAGTAAAATGCCTAGCAGAAAACTATCCTTGATTTGTTAGTGTTGCAAATTATCTTTGTATCAACGGATGCAAACATCCCTGATTACAGACAGTATTTTCCTTTTTTTACGTTGGACAATAAGACTTCAGGAATTTGAAGATCCTGAAAAATATCAATGAGTACTTCTTAAATAGTACCACTTACACTAGCAAGGATACAGGAGTGGTTATTTTTCAAACTCAATAAAATATAGATGAGTTTTCCACATTAAAAGCAGCAAAAAATTAAGACTTACAGAAGCTTTTAATTAAAACTATCCTCACATTCTACAGCTAAAATAACTGGTTCACAGACAAAATGCATTAAAACCTTATTTGCCTGCTACAATGCAATTTTAAGAAAAAAATAGCTTTAAATGTAAATTGTTCAAGTTTAGCCAGTGTGCAAGTAAACTAGTTAGAAAATATAATTTAATAGTGCTTTGTTTCAAAATATACATAATATTGAAAAATACTAAAAATAAGAAACTGAATATTCACCAAGTTTCAAACAGAGTTTCATCAAAATGAGGTAAATCTATATCACCTGCTACTGAGCTTGGTGCTGAAATGGAAAATAGGTCTTCAAGGATATCTTCGCTTGTAGCGCTTTCAAAAGCAAGTTTTTTCACACTGGACTTGTTCATTGTATGAACTTCAGAATTACTCTCCTTTACAGGACTGTAGTAATTGTGGTCTTCACGTGGCACTGTTGCAAGTGACACGCTGGTCATCTCAGCAGGCACAGCTCGTGCAGCATTGCTGTCCCCCATTTCTAAATACATGCATTCATCTTCACCTTTTGGAACCTCTAAGGAAGCGACAGTTGACGTAGGGGACAGTAATTCTGCTAATATTTCATTATTAGCATCATGGCCAGTGCACATTGATATAGAGCTTGCATCAATTTCAGATTCATTATCTGCAACATCAATCTGATACTGCAGTTCCCTTAAAAAAGTCTGTAGCAATTCACTATCATTATGAGATTCAAAATGTGACGGGGGGCTTCCATCTCCGTTCACAGGTCTTTCATGTTTCATTTGTTCCACGGCTAGCCTATCCAGTGAAGCTAACTTCTTCTTTTTAGCATTAAGTTTTTTTAGAAGTTTCTGGCGAAGTTTTTTTGTTTTATCAGTATCTGACTCTTTTACCTTCCCAGAATTACAGCTGGGTGAATTAAGCTGGACTACTTTACCTGAGGTACCCAATACACTTCTTGACTTTTTCCAGGTTGGACCTTCGTTAGCAATACGATTTGTTGTAGGAAGATGAACGTCTTGAGAAAATCCTCTGAAATTTGACAAAGGATGAATATTTTTACCTTGGGGAACTGCTGATTTAGGGGTCTCAGTCATTTTGCTGGTACCTCTGCCTTGAAATCCATCAAAGTTACTTGCTCCCTTAATTGGCAACCGCACGTTACCTATTTTTTGCACTGCTGGAATTTGGTAATTTCTTTCATTTTTAAGACCTGAGGCACTTGAAGGCATAAAAGAAGTGTTTTTGCTTAATAATTTCTTTACCCAGCTTCCTACAAATCCTCTTTTTTGGTCTTTGTGTGAAGGCTGAAAAGGATTATTGGCAGCAGAAGAATTTGCAATCTGAGAATCAACTACGGTTTTGCTTGCATCTTTCAAGTCAGGTGATCTTTGTGTAATATGTTCTGCTGGTGACAAATTCTTGTTTAGCTGTAGTTCTGAATTTAAGCCAGTACCATTTTCTGTGTTAAATAAATTCACTTTGTCATCTGTCATTTGAGCGAGTGGTGAGTAAGATGGGTAAGGGTCTTGTTTTTTAGGCACAGGAGAAGTAATATTTGTTGGGTTTAACTCTTCTAGAGGTAAGCAAATGCTGCGATCTTCAGATAACGTGCATTTATTATTCACAGCTAGACTAGTTCCAGCAACCTCTCCTTTAAGGCTGCAGGTTGTCCATCTCAACAAGGTTATGTCCCACCATCTGTCCTTTCTCCAGTGATTCAGCTTCTGAGCCAACTTGAATTTCTACAAGCGTCAGAGTTATAACATCATCCTGTGCCAGATTTTCTAAACCATCATGAGCACTACTTTCATCTTCAGCTACCTGCTGTTGTGTCTTATCTGGAATTCTCACAGAATCCTCTCTGTGATGTTCTGCAAATATTTTGTCTACAGCATTTTCAAAACCACAATGCAACACTGTGGAATTTGATCGTACATTATTAAGAGGAAAATCTTCAATATTTTTACTCTGGAACTGTGAATTCAGTTCTTCTGGTACATGGGATGTTTTCTTTTCCCAGACGACAATAAAAATCCCTGAAGGAGGAACTTCAAATCTTTTGTGTCTCTTGCAGTACGGACCCTTTAAATCATCACATTCAAGCCAAGTTCCTGAAAAATAAACAGCAACCAACGTAGAGACTCAGAGACCTTTAAAAACTGAAATCACTATTCTCTGGCACTCGTCAAATTTTTATTAACCCATTCCCTTGACATGCAGAAAATAAAGTTTTTCCCCCTCCGTTCTTTATTGCATCAGAAGAAAACTAGGAAGCTTCCACACTAAAAACGTCACACACAAGCAGACTTTGCTGCAGTATTACTACAGATGTGAGCAAGTCAACCAGAAAAAAAAAGCTAATGCTTTTTCTCTGAGCTAATGATGCTGATATCTTGTCTGAAAATACCTGCACAGGTCTGAGGGAAGAATCACCTCTTAAGAATGTTTCTCAGTGGAACCTTTCATTGCCTGACTGACATGCACAAGAGTTTAAGGGAAACTGCTCCCTGAGTAATCTGCTCAATAATCTGCAAATATTTTTTTCATGATTTGTAAACTATTTTACAACTTGAAGAGCCTACAAAACAGATATACAGCATATATATACCACAGATCAAATGTTCCTGAATAGCTGCTTCCCAGCTGCTTTCTCTTCTTAGTTCTTCCTAAACTCTGGCTGTACAATTTAGGCAACTTTCATTTTGCTAGAACATTTGGTAGGACTGCATCTATTCCCTCTATGGAAGCATGAGAATCAGCATGTCAACTTTTCCTCTTCTCTCATTCTGGAGTTCCACTTGGAGGAAGCTGTGGTGCTGAACCAACAGAACCTTCACACCATTAGTCATGTTTCTAATATTTAATTGTGCCTCCCAACCATCAGGTGAAGCAAAATTCAGAAACAAGGAGAAACTAAGCATCAGTGCTCCTAGTTCCCACACTCCTGTCCAAGAATGGTTGAATATTTGGCTTCAAAATAACCAACACAGTTTGTCCAATAGCTACGCTCAGCTTGTACTTATTTCCATTTTTACAAACTTATGAAAGGAAATGACTCTACCAAATAACTTTTCCCAGTGAGCACAGCACAGGACAGAACACTGCCAAACAAATCAGTTAAACTAAAATCAAATTTTCACCCAGAATAACAAAGTTCCTACAATTATTCACAAGATTTTAATATGAAGTTTAGAAAACAGACAAAAAAAACCCTTGTTATTATCTATCTATGGACAGTTGGGACTATTTCAGTAACCCATAAAATAGTATTTGATGTAGGCTCGTGCACTGTTATAATAGAATTTATGGTTCTTACCATCAGGATTCAAACACCAGGTTATGAAGTGTTTCTTGACTGATTGATACTGAACAACAGATGTTATTTGGTAGGAATGTCCTTCAAACTGAAATGAGTAATTCTTCAGGTCATTATGTGGCAAGCCTTCGACAAAATGGAACATTAATATTGCAGGCACTCTAATAAAGAAACAAAACAGTTTATTACAACAACATATCAGCATAAGTTCCTAAAGAAGAATCACAAGCAAGGCACGTATGTCAAAGAGTAGGCCGTCCTGCCGTTACTGTTTTATCTCCACGCAAAACTTTTGAGTAGTGCTTACAGGAGAAGTGTAAAACCAAATGGAATGTCCAGTTGGGGTATTCGTGAGGAAAAAACAACACACAGGGGATTGGAGAGGGCAGGGAAGAGGTGAGAAAAACAGGACACAACTGTGTTATAACCAAACTAGAAAGGACAGTATTCCCAAGTCAAATCAATAAACATGATCAGCGAGCAGATTTATCCACCAACACCAGAGGTTGTGGAAAGGCTGTTATGGGATATCAGTAGTGTTTTTACTACCTGGCTCAAACAAATGTGCTATTCAGCATGTTAAACACTGTACTTTCTATGTTTCAGGTTAATTAAACATTATTTACAAGTTTCGGCATTTAAATCTAAAAAACTGAGTATCAGAGTTAAAAGTTTAGCATTTCTTTAAACACACAATAGTGTGTTTCTGCAAGTGCAACTATGTTCACTACAGGAAGCCTCAGTATTTTATCTATTTTATTTCCAGGTTCACATATTCCAACTTACTTTTCCAAAATCATCTGTCTTCTTTGAGATGTATCATTACAGTTATTACACGGACCAATATGAACAGCATTAAGCGGATGCCATTCAGGGATTATATTTGTGAATGTTGTTAATGTTTTCCTACATCTGGACACACAAAAAAAGAGTAAATTCAGTTGCTGACCAGAAAACAATAAAAATACTTATTTCACATCAGGGGGAAAAAGTTACAAAAATGTTATGACTAAGCCAAATTCTATTCATAGTCATGGCATTTGCACGAACTCCAGTGTGACTGCATCAGACGCAAGTCAGCACTGAATACACTTCTGCCAAATAGTATCAGTCATCACTTGTTCTCAGCAGCATTATGGCCTTTAATTCCACATTATCTGCTCTTTCTGCCTGAACATCATCTCTCTCTTTCCTTTCCAAAATAGGATAGAGCTTCTACCAAGACCAGGGTAATTTACTAGCTAATATAGAATCTCAAGACAGAGTGAAGAAGCAGTAAAAAATTACATCAGAATGCAGAATACAAGGCCTTGTTTTCAAAAAACACTACATTGAGAGCAGAGCTTACACACATGAAAATACAAGATATGGAATATTAAAGTGAAACAATGTAGTTCATTCATTCTTCTGCCACAGAAGGCTCTTATATTATATTCAACCTAACCTAGATTTTTCAACTTACTGAAAAACATAGTACATAACAAGAGGCTCTTGAACACATCCTATTAAGCAGGACTACACATTAGCTGCATGTACAAAGGATAGAATTCATTGCATCTCATTCGCGGGTCTAGAAGTTTATTGTGTAAATATAAGACAGTGGAGAGAAACAGGGATTTTTAAAGTAAAATGAGCTGCCTTCTGAAGTTGCCTCTCTTTTTCTGCTGACTCTAAAAGGAGCTTAAATAAGTAGCTTGCACTTAGAGCTATGCAGAATTTGATCAGTTATCAAGAAACAACATCCCTGTAATACCATTGTAAAATAAATCAATTCTGCAAGCAAACCTCATACATTTATATTTCTGATTCTTTACAATCCAAATCAATATTGCAGGTATTCTTCAATAGCAAAAGTGTGCTGGGCATATATTCTATGAAACAACAGCAATCTGCATACTCTCAACAAAAAAATCAGCATGAGCACTGTTAAGGCTTCACAGTTGCCTATTATTTCTTTTTGAATTGCATTATTACATGATTTCCTAAGACATTACACAGCAATAAACCATTTGCAAATGCCAGCCTAAAAAGTGGATCACATAAAACATCACCAACAAGCTTAAACTGTACAAAACCTAGAGATCTGAAGAAAAAACATCTAAGTGCAGACTTAAAAAGGTAAGGTATCAGCTTTCAGACAAAAGCTACTTAAAGAAAATCTCACCGGTTCTGGTATTTGTAGCCACAACATAAACACTCAAACTTCCAAGAAAATGAATGCAGGAATAGTTTCTCAGCTTGGTGATCCTGTCGTAAAAGTAGAGGGAGTGCAAACACCGGACTTTCCTTCTCACCTTCAAAGAAGGGGGAGGGAGGGGAAAAACAGTCACTGAATATTTGAAATCAGCCTTTAGTACTTTGAAAGGCAAGAGGATAAGTTTATTGCTACTGATTCTCATTCTAGGTATCCTTTCAAGGTTGTATTTCTCATCCCAGAGCAAAGGGACAGATCTGTGTTATTAGGTTGCTATCACTGACCATTTCATGACGATTGCGTAGTTACCAAGACAAGAATACACTCTCTAAACTTCAAAAATAGTTAAGGGACAAAAAAACTGACCACATGGTAAATGATGTGTAAAATGTATTTGCAAGCTGTCTTGTATGCACATATCCATACATATTTTTATATGCTGACAATCTGCAAGGCTTCACATGTAGTTTCCTGAAAATAAATACTAAGATTCTGCAATAATTACTCACCCAATTTACACCTAAGCAGAGGCTGAAGATGTGCAAAAATTCCGTTTCTGATTTCATTGAGATATGATTCTGCTTTTGGAAGAACATCTACAGAAAAAAACCACATGTTTTTTCATTTATGTGTAACACTCCCTCGCTCCACGTTCACCTAAAATGCATTCATTGTCTGCAAACAGATGCCTTTCATATTAACAGTCACTTCCCTATAACTGTTGGCAAAATAGCCAATGCTTAGTATTAACTGATTTACAGAAATTATACACATTTTACTGTACTCTAATAACCAGAAATTACTGAACCTGGCTTAAATTATGGTTAAGACTGTGTACTATTAACTGGATAATAAAGATATTTAAGGATAAGGTAACCAGATATTATAAACCCCGGAGATTCGGAGTTTAAGAGTAGATTTAAAAACCCAAATTTTAAGATCAAACAGGCAAAAACTTGCTTAAACGCTTTGTAATGATATCTCACAATTAGTAATAAAACATTTTAATGTGTTGTCCCAGATTAAATATTAAATTCTTAAGTCAGCATTTGAAAATATCAAAAATAATTCTGTTAAATAGCTTACATTATATAACTCCGTATCTTAATTTTACAACAGTTACATCGCTTATACACAGATTCTTCAAGCTCGAGAAAGAACATAATTTCTACTACATAGTCATGATCATAACCTCCACAAATTAAAGGAAGAATTTAGCATAGCTGTGAAAACTATTTCTTACTTATAATATTTATGCTTATAGGAAAAAAATTTAAAAAAAAAGCTTCTGTAGCTCTATTGCTTCTGATTGTTTTTAAAAACAAGCAAAAGTGAAAGATACTGAAAAATCAGATAGCAGGGCAAAATAAACACTACACCTATTCTCCGTAACAATATTGTTCATCCCATTTCCTTTTCCACTGTTGCCTACATAAACTGATTTGTTTTGCAGCGATACTTGGAAATGGAAAGGTTTAAGTCATTTCAAGCAATGCTGCATTACAACACCCTTCCTAAGGAAAGCAAGCTAACATCCCCACTAAGGGCTCTTCTATACCAGTACTTCTTTGCAAACAGCAGTAGCACAGCAGAGGGGAAAATACCATCTAAGATTAACAGGTACTGTGATGGTAGAGGCCTTCCAGGCAATATTTGAAAACTTAAAAATAAGGAGCCCAAATTTCTGGCTAGAACTACCGCATACGAGGTTTTTCAGAACCTCTTTAGATTTTTTTCCCCTCTTTAAAAATATTATGGTTTCTCTGTCACAAAATCTATTAAACCATTTTTCATGCACCCACTGTTTTTTCTAGGGAAGATATGATATTAAGTTACCTAATAATGTTATGGTACCATAGCCTATATACTCCCACGCTCACTTTTCCTAGGAGGTCCACTGAAAAAAGGCTTCATGAAAGGTACTGGCTAGTCAAGCGATCTGCATTAATTCTCTAAAGGAACATCTTTTACAAGTTCAGACTTATGACTCCAGTGGGTCACTTCAAAAGAGCTAGGGAAAAATACATCTTAGTAGTTTAAGAGTCTTAAACCGAACCCAGACTACACAAAAAGATCAAAGCCCATACTAACAGCTTATAGTGACACATCTTCTAACTCCGGCTGTACAGGCTGAAAGGTTGCCTCCAGCTGCTCATCACTGCCCCAGTGCTTGGAGACGACTGCCCTCCAGTCTGCCAAGCCTCTCATGTGGAATGTTCCTAACCCATTCCAGACAGTAGCAACCAAGTTAACAGATCTGACTGATTTTGACTGAAACAGGTTAGGAAGCACTACCATCCGCAGCGCAGCTTGGGGATCTCAGGGGAAGCATTTCTTCAATCAGCACAGCTGGAGCCAGGAAAAGAATGTATTTTCCCAGCTTTTCTATTTCTGGTGTGACAGGGGAACTGTGCATTTATACAGGGATATAAACCACATCAGGAAAGATGCTAAGATTTAAGATTAAAATGAGAACAGCCCTGTAATACATTAACCAACACACAGGAAGGAAACAAAGTCAGGTTCAATTACATGATCAATTCACAACTTACCTACCTGGTATGTAACAAAAAATTCCAAGAGATACTTAATATTTGATCTCTGCTTTCGAAGTGTGCATATTTTCCCTGAGAGAAATATTTTCAGTGGTTACTGAGAATCTGCTAGACAAGGAATACTGCTCTGGAAATTCATGGAAATGAGTTGTAACTCATTCTTTAGTGATCTTGAAATAAAAGGGAAGCAGACTTCAGTACACTGTACCGAATTCCACATATTTGTAGCAGATACATCACGTTGAATATAAAGAAACAGTAGCTAAACTTACTCACCTTTTACCTTACTACTTTTACAGGTATTTAGAAGTGCAGTTGCTTGATCGTATTTTGTAAGGAGTCTCTGGAGTAAACATTTTTCTTCAGTGTATTCTTCTGTTAGAGCACACTTTAATGTTTCTAAGTGTACCAAAGCTGACAAAATACAATCTAACCAACAAAGAGCATACGTGTTCCTCCACTGAAGACGTAAATCTGTGTTATTAGTGGAAACTTTATCATCTTTGAGCAAAATGTCAGATGCTTTTGAGCAAAGTTCAGAATTCGGTGAGAGCTGTGTTCCGGCTGAAGAAGTCTTCGAAGCACTTTCTTGATAACTGCTGGTGCTGCTGGTTGCTTCAATATCCACCTTCTGCAGGAGGGACTCTGCTTTGCTGCTAGTGCTTTGCTGGTCATTCTGTAATTCATCAGGTAGGCTTGGCCTGGGAGTATATAAACCATTCTCACAGTATTTGACAGCAGGATTTGCATTTATAGTCTGCTCAACATTTATCCCATTATTAGTCCTTGCCTGTTTTGGATATGAGTCAATGGGAGAAGAGTCACTAATATCACACAATTTCCTTTTCTTATCAGTATATGGAATTTGATGTTTTTCTGAATCAGCAGAAATAATTATGCTGTTTAACGGTTTATATCCAAGTGGGTAGATACACTAAAGGAAAGAAAGACAGTTATAATGAAATCTACAAAGCAATTTCAGGTAAACAGTAGCTAAAAAATACAAACTATACTGTAAAGTAGAACGGAGAACTTCTGTTAAGTGGTACTTCATGAAATGGATATATAAATTCCACATATATGACAAGAAGGACATTTTATCCAACCACTGTCTCACAAGCAATGGTGAAAAAAATGTATCAAAAGTGATAACCAACATTGCTTTTCCAGTAAAAGCCTGACTGCCCACTTCCAATCCCTGAAAGATGTCCTCATCTTGCTAAGGAAACTCCTCTTCTCTCATTCTGCTATAGCCATTCCTTTAGGGTATGGATTTGGCATTAACAAATCTTTTGTCTGAGACCTCCAAAGCTGGTAGGCTATCTTTCAGGCTAGCCTGATGCTTCAGACCAGGTGTCGGAGGGGTCTTATACATAAGAACGTTCTGTAACCAGGAGAATACAATCCACTCCACTATTCCCCTCCTCGAAACCCGTACAATGATTATTGTAAAGGCTGGGGGGGAGGGAGGAGAAGGGATCGTGAGGCAACTTACAGACATGTATCTGTATGTGCACTCACATATCTATATTCGCACTCTGTTAATTTAAAGGTACCAGGCCATGAGATTGCTATACTCTGACCCCACACACGTGGTGGAGCGCAGGAAAGGAAATGGAGAAGAAGCAAAAGTCATCACTAACTATTAAGTAGCCCAGAAATCCAGCTAAGGTTGAAGTTAAAATGGAAAAACTTTGAAAACACTGCAGTTATAATTGCAAACCTATTTGTATTACTGAGAAAGGACGAGAGAAAGGAAAAACAAAAAATAAAGAAAGAAGAATGGGAAACCAAAGTCTGCATTGATACAATACGGGTTACGTGGATCACCAAATTTTAGCTTGTAATCCGATTCATATACAGATTTACTCTCCCTTGTTATGTAAGCCAAATTCCCCTTTTTTATTTTTCAAACTTTTCTTTTGGTTAGCTATCTATGCATAAACACTGTGCGTATAGAGGTTAGCCGTGTTTTTGTCTAAATACAGCCAGATACCGTCTTGCAGGTCAACTCAAAGGAGTCCTACTCCAAGCCAGCTTACCACCAATGAACTCTTGAACTTAAAGAGGTGTAACTTTTGAAGACAAAGGCCTCTACACAGCCCAAGAAAACTGTTAATTAGAATAATACCTGAGGATTTTCACAAAGAAAAATGGACTCTTGAAAATTAATGCGGTAAGTCCGTAAAGCTTGTCTCTGGCCCTTCTCTTTGCAGACTGGGCAATGCTCATGTGTAATTACTTCTACAGGACTACAGTTCTAAAAACAACCCAAAAAACAAGCGGCGTTAGCTTACGCATTTTATATATTATCCCAACAACAAAACATACATAGCAAGGCAGAAAAGGAAAGTATAACTTATAAATATATATCTGATACAGTATAAAAAAGTAAATTAGATTAGGTTTTGATTATAGCTATAAAATATATATTCATACAATAGAATGTTCTAAATGAATCTATATTTTGCTATAAATATTCAAATATTTAATAAAGTATCTGTAACAACACAATTACATAACATCTCATTTTGTTTGCACTAAACCAAAGGATATTTATTGCCAGAGAACACAAACTCAGATCTCCAAAGACAAACAAGTTTTCACAGGAAAGCTAACAGTTTTAAAAATAGCACCAGTAAAAAAAAATCATAGACACAGATGTACTTAGAACAATCTTTCGCCATTGTTATAGATTTCCGTGGAAAAATAATTTTGAGACTTTTTTTGGAAAATTAAGACCAATTAAAAATCTCTCAAAGCAGAGAAAAATATGAACTTTGCACACATGTAAAACAAGTTTCAACTGACTTTTCCCAAATACCCCACCATGTGGAGTGTCGATATCCCTATACCAGTCCCTTGTCCAATCACTTGCAAACCATTTGTAGTCTTCTGGGCATCCATCATTCTGAGCCACTGGCTAATTTATGTCACTTGTAACAATGTCAAGACCACTAAGGAATTTTCAAAGAACCCTGAAAAATAAGAAGTGAATATAACAATTAAAGAAAAAAATTGATTAAATTTTGAATTAAAATATACCAACAGTAATGCAATCTGTATTTTCTGCAAGAGTGAATTGAGATGCATACTTTCTTGACTGAACGCGCTTATTTTCTGGTGCAGACTACAAACTCAGAACTTTCAGTCACTTTTGGCCAGATTTAGCAGCTTCAGACCTTGAATTTGCAAATCTATGCATTCTTTACACTCCACAAGGTCTCATTTATTTTCCAAGCGCACTATACTTTGCAGAAACAGAGATGTCTTGCCCGTGCACCTTAACTTACTACATCTAACCCTCAGTCAGAAAGATTCTGACATGTTTTCTTTAAAAACGGCTACAGTAAGATCCCGCAGTTACACCTTAGTTGGTGAAGAACACTAAAGATCTAACCGCTGTAGCTTTCAGAACAGTGAATTTTGTACATTAACTATAAAAAGCTTATCCTGCAAATGGAACAATTTCTAACTACAGAAAGGCGTCCTGCTGCTAGTGTCACTACATGGAAACTTCTCATCTAGTCATTTTAACAATGCTATGGACTTCTTAGCAAACTAAAGCTCTTCCACAGTATTACTGCAACATAAATCTATTCCATATGTTGCTAATGATACTGCATATTCCATTTCATATGATTTGTCAAATTCTGGGCCAAATTCTGCCTTCTGATTCACACACATTGTTGCGCACTTACGTAACAGAGGCATATACACGCGCACACACATCTATGTAGCAAGTCTCCAGTACAGACTACATACACATCAGAAGACAGGTTCTTAAGCCCATATAACTCCATCCCTTCACTGGCTCTGAAGCTAACTATATCTTGAATGAGTCAGAAGAACACAGAAGTTTAGAACATTATGGACCCAAATCTATACTCGCTAACTTCAAATGGAGCTAACCAGAATAAATATGCACTCCTTCAAGATTTAGGGGAAGTCAAGGTAGGTGAAATATAATAAAGCTGCAAAGTCATCAAAGTCATCAAGCAGCAAAGTCATCAAAGTTAATATCTTTCCTTAAGTCAATAGTCTCTTTTCCAACGCTTCCACTGAACGAGAACCTCTCCCACAGCACAATGCTCCGCAACTCCTACGCTATAGCACTAACTCAGATTAGAAGACAATTCCTTTTGAATCAAGAACTCAGTTTCCCAAGGCATTTTTGGGAGCCCTGCACAAATACCCGTTCAACCTAACTCATTTACAGTACTAAGCAAAAAGAGACGCTACAGAACTGGACAGACGTTAAAAATGGGCAGAGTATCAATAAAAAAGTGCAGTAGCAAACTGTAATAACTCATCATTCCATATCGATCCCCAAAGACAACTTAAGTTGATGACATATCCTGCTGATACTTTTAACATGTATAGCAGCCCTTTTCAGAAAAAGCAGGCTGCAGGATGAACAGGTAGTATATCGGGACTTTAAAACTAATGGTTATAATGGAAGGTAAGAACAAAAGTATCAACCGGTATGTGCCTCCTTAGAGAGCATATTTAGCTTTTAGAGTATAGTTGGAAGATGTACAAGAAACAACATGGTCCTAGGCTCACTGAAGGTAAAAAACGAAAGAATTAGCTTGAAGTGTGTAATTCTACTGGACTATGAAGGAAAGCCAAGCTCTCCAATTCTTCACATTGCGTCAACCATACTATCACAGCGTATCAACAGCGTATCAAGCGTTATCCCATATTTAATCTAGTTCAGATGTTGATTTTTTTTTAATGTAACATTAGTTTAGCAAATATTGACCACTTTAAAATACAGAATGACGTTGTTCTCCATGCTCTAGCTAATAAGATCTTTCTAACTTGTTCAGGGAACTTTTAGGCACTTCCTTGGCCTGGACCTCATCTCTCCAGAGTAAATACAGTCACGTGATCTATGTATTTAAGTTATTTCTCACTGTAAAAACATAAATTCTCTGCCTGTATTTAAATGTGTTAGTAACACTAACAACCTACAAGTTATTTCTTTTTAAGTATTTCTTGATTTTATAAAGAATGATATCTATTGCTCTGCAAGTGCTTACTCTGTCACTCCTCTCAAAAGAAAGGCAGGTATTTTTCTGCCCATGTTCCCTATCTGATAGTTCTGCTCTTCTGTTTAAGCTTAAATAGCGTTTTGAGATGTATAATGCCTCCTCAACTATAACCCCCCAACAGGAGTATTGTAAATGGTGTGGGCTTCAACATTATCACAATAAATACTTTTTTGAATCTTTATTACATTCTTAATCAACTTTTTATTTCAAAGACATATAAAGAACCAGTTAATAAAACAGGCCTGCCAGTACTAGATATACCGAGTGGTACTAGGCGACCTATCGGTACATTTCAGTATGTGTAAAATTACAGTAAACTATTTGTAGTATTTGCACAACATATAAGAACTAAGAACAATTGCCAAGAAAAACAGATAACTAAAAGACTGCTTTACAAACTACTGAAGCGACCCATTGCAGCAGCATGTAACATCAGCATTACATATCAGAAAATAAATAGGAATATGCTTTCAAGCTTACTGTGCTATGTTTTAAAACATTTATTCTACTTTCCCTTATGCTGGACACTTGCAAAGTATAATGCAAAATATGCTACTGACTAGGTATAATTACTAGGCTAAAGTTAAGGTTCCTCAGGTAACTGATGATCCAATAGGTCACTGCTATGTAATAGGAAGGTCTCGCATCTCTCTTCTCCTCTTTCTCATTCCATCACCAACCCAACAGTTCACATCTTTGTCAGACTTTCCATAAGCTAGCTGAACTCATAAAACAGCAGAAAACTTAAGACTTGAGTGAGTTAAGCTGGTTTATGAAAAGGTCTGATGAGCTGCAGAGATAATGACACAGAAGACAGAAAGCAGGGAAGAGGTGGAGAATTTATATGGCAAGCAGGCTTTTGATAACAGTGAGGTGTACCTTGTGACACAAGTAACAGTTTCAGTATCTTGTGAAATAAGGTCAGTTAGGAACTCCAGTAAGCAGGTTGCAGAACAGTGATTACATTACAGTGAACATCTCTTCTAAGCCTAAACTTCTTGCAAATCCTATGCCTTCTCTCCTTCAAAGGGAAATTGAAAAGGAAGGGTGAAAAAAGTTTGAAAAGAAAGTCACACACGTTTACATTGACCACGTTACTAGGTATGTGTGTATTCCTTACGCAAAACAGTCTTTTTTTTATAATCTCCAGCTGTAACTATTAATATTCAAATCACAGAGCATGAAAAAATTACAGCTTTGGCCAAAAAAATGTATTCCAGTAAGTGTGACATTAAAGAGACACTGCTGATGTCATTTGGTAACTGTACCTACGTCACAGGCCATACATGCTAGGCAGAACTACAATTCCATCCTCCTGTGGTGGGCGGCAAATGCAAGATTCTTTCCTGCAAAGAGCCTAACCCAGACTAAGGCAAACGAAGCTGAAATACACGAAGTTGTGAAATAAACTAATTTGCAGTATGATTACTAAGTTGTTCTAAAAGCTTCTTCTATAGTCAAGCTTATCTTAAATGTCCTAGTACACTACATGCTTTGATGCAGGTACTGGAATGTACAGGCACTAAGCATCTTGCCAATGATGCCTTTTAGCGCTTTTACAAGAAGTAAGTTAGTATGGAAAAAATATAGCTTAAACTAGTATTTGTTATCCCTACAGCTAACACATGCACGATTTCAGAAACAGACTCAGGCAGTGGAAGTGAAGGGCACATGGACACGGCTCCAGCTAACTGGCTGACACTGTTCTGGTTGCTGCCCTTCCTTCAACACCAAGTAGTGCTCAAATGCTTCAAAAGAAACCTATGGCAAAACAGCCTCCTTAGTTTTTTTTCCCCACATCAAGAGTGATCCATTCACTAGGGAAAGACTGTAGAAGAAAAAAATACATGTAGTTAATCATTTGAACGTCAGAAAACCGTGCAAGGGAAATATAAACACGTGCTAGTACATCACCACGTACATCTGTTGTTAAATGTTAGCTATTAAAGTTAGCTAACGCTAACTGACTAGAAAGAACAGGACCTCAGAAACACAGACGTTGACAAGAAATACTAAGTCGGCATTCAGAAATATAAGACAGTCATTTTAACGCAACCTAGGGAACAGGCACCCCCGAGTAACGAGGCAAAGGCCTGAACACTGCTCCCAGCAAAACGAGCGCGCCAGGCGCCCAGGCCCTGCTCCTTCCCGCAGCAGCGGCAAGGCCCCGGAGGGGGCGCGGAGCGCCCA